TCAATTTTCCTTTTTCTTTGGCATTAAGAAATGTGGAAAACTCCTTTAGTTAATATTGGAGCCTGTTAATTAGTAGTCACAGCATAGATCGTCTCCGTCACTCTTTCTATATTCAGAACTTTTCTTGAAGAAAGCAACTGTTTTGTTGAAGCAGTTATGAATACTCAATTATTTATTTCTTTCAACATTATTTCCAACTAGCAGAGGTGGGGACTGGGATTCAGGAGGGACATGCAATGGGGAGACTGAACCAGTTTTAAGTGGGGCAATTCTCAACAACTATCCTGTCAAAATGAAGATAGTAGAGGAGGTAATCCAGGAAATGAAGAATCCAGTTACACTGCTAAATGTGACAAGGTTGACCAATTTTCGAAAGGATGGACATCCATCAATCTTTGGCAAGAACGCAACTGCAGGGATAAAGGTTTCAACAAGGCGCCAAGACTGCAGCCATTGGTGTGTTCCAGGCGTCCCTGATGCATGGAATGAGCTGATATATGCAACTTTGCTTCAACAAACAGTTTCCAGGAGTTGAAACAGCAATCTTCGCTTCCCATTTTCAACAGGGAAATTTTTTTTTAGTTTTACTTTGACTAGGTACGGAGAATTCCAAGTTCTGTGTTGTACAAGACTTGCAATGTGAATTCTGGATGTGCAAGTCATGGAAAAATACTTTTTCTTACAGCCATTTATTGGTGCATGATATATACATGCATATGTATAAACATATATGCATATGTGAAAGGTTTACTGATGATTGGAGAAGTTTGACTACCTCTGGTCTTGCCTCTTCAACACTTGAGGTTGCTTCTGTGATGGGCCTTTTTTCGAGAAGGTTTCCACGAAATAATGCCTTAGATTAAAGCAGTTGCCACCAGACTCCGCTTCTCGGCCTGGACCATGAAACATGGGTCCATCACATTGTAGTTTCAGCTGCTTGGTCAATCTGCCTTTTTATTTTTTGGGTATAATATTTCTTTTTCTGCCCGCAAGAAAAGTCAACCAGGTAACAACAAGAATGGTTGCTGTCATTTTGGGTTAAGATCTGGACTTAGTTTTATCCAATGATCTTCACTACCTAAATAGCAAAACAAGTGAACAGTATGAAAAGCTTCCAAGAAACGTAGACATGCTGCGTATTTTTCTAACAAGAGAAATTTGACTTGTTTTATGCTTGTAAATAATAAACATGTTATAATTCCAATATTCTTGTTTTTGACGTTCTTGTTTATATATATATAAAATTAGACCTGTAAAATTATCTATCAAAATTTAAGTCTGATTCAATAATAAAGTAAAAATTTATGATTAATTTATACAAATTGTTAGCTTGATGTTAACAATTTTTTTTTAGTCTTAATTATGTTTTGCTTGTCCATAAATAAATCTGTTTAGACTTTTTGCATGATCAATGGCAGATCCATAACTTACTTTACAGAACCATCAGACTCGTTTGAACCGTCTGCACCAAAACCTTTATGCTAGCATGGAGGAGAGTTCATTAAGTTCTTCTAGAGATACTAAGCCGATGTGGAGGGTGCATATGTAAGATCCTTCGGAAAGAGGATTTAATCTTGATTGATATGCAAGTTGGTTTGAAAATACCCTTTATTGTTTAAAAAATTAAATCTGGTCCCTCAATTAACTTAATTTTACGACTTAGCCTCTGTAGTTCTACATCAAGTTGCTTTGATGGAAGATTAATGGAAGTTATAATCATGGTAGGCGTCATGGTGCCAACCTTATTAATGATGCAGCAACTTATTACTCAATCTTTATTATGATAAAGAAAAATTAGATGCTGAAGTCGAACTTCATAATTATGGGAGTGAATTTCTTTGTCTTATATAATTAATCGTTTATATTATTTTTTCGTGTAATTAATTAAATGCTTATCGAAATAGGCTTGCCGAATCCATGCATATTCGAATAATATATATATAAATAATTTAGAATGTTGATGGGTTCTAGAAATAATCAAGTGGTTTAGAAAGAATAATTATGTATTATATAATTATTTAATTTATTAATTTTAACAATTTATTTTATTTTTTAATCAAAATGGCTAAAATTTTAATTAGAGGAAGTATTAAATAGTAAATCTTGAATTAAGTTTTTTTATGTAATAACTTTATTTAACAGTATTCTGTGTTGTTTTTGCTTGTTATTATTTGTTAGTTATTTTTATCTATACACTTTACCATTTAAAAAAACAAACCCCTTTTAAATTCCTCAATTGATAGGAAGTACAATATTATTGGAGTTTGGTTTCATTTACTTAATTAGCCTGCTCTAGAGGTTGTTAAACTAGATTACAAGGAAATTAAAGAAACTAAACCTACCATGGCTTGATAATTATAACTGAATTAAATCATATAAATTCCACTACATTCCAAGGGTTTCAAGAAGCTATCAGCAAATAATTTGGACAAGGCATGTGCTCCTAATAATTTGGACCAGTTAATTATACGGTTGAGATTATTTACTAATTAATTAGAAGCATCATTTATTAATAATGTCACCCCCTTGAAACTTGGATTGTAGGGGACCTTCGTCTATATATGATACCTAAGGAATGAATACAACTTAGCTCATTTTGGTGGATTACTTCGGCACTCATGACCTAAAGGTGGGTGGGGCTTAAGACACTGGGGCAGTGCACCTTCCATTAGGCACACCATATTAAATTTTCTGGTATGGATTAAGCACTCATTCGTGTCACTCATGTCAATGAACAATTTTTTATTTTTTTTCATTTTCTTTTTGTTGGCAATAGTATTGGATCTTGAACAATATTATAAGAACTTTCTTCTTCTTCTTCTTTTCCTTTTTTTTTTTTTTGTTTTTTGTTTTAGTTTGAACAATAATTGTTTTTAGCGCAGACAATGATGTAATCAATTGGGTTAAAGGCAGTATTATTATTAATTTTCTTGTCTAAACACAAGGCCTAATAAGCTTGGACTATATACGAGGGATGATCCTGTTCTTAGACTTAAACCTCCAAATAAGATTCCCAGATTTAACTTGATCCTTCAAGCATCCACTTAGATTAAGGAAGATTTAATTTATTCAGCATTACATGTAAGGAATAGTTAAGAATTTATACGAAGATACCCTCTTGGAATTGACATGGGAGTTGTTAGTAATTGTCAATGATCTGTTTTTTTTTTTTTTTTTTTTTCCAGTTACCTTGCCTTCTTAACCAACCAGTGTTAATTAATTATGAAAGAAGGAATAGCTAGTCTTGTTGAGAGAATTGTTTTCACTCGTACACTCCTTTATTTCAATAGTTAGTCTTATTTATGAAAAATATATATTTTTATTTTTCATGAAAAACACTTTTTTTTTAAAAAAAAAGTCATTTTTCATTTTTGAAATGCGTTTTTCTGTAAAATAAATTAATTTTCATTAATGATTTTTGTATAAAGACAATAAGATAAGAAAATTGCAATGTTTGTGAATAAAATGATTATTATAGTATAAGAATTGATAATTAGTAATAATGTTACTGATTACGATGTGATAATGATAAAATAATTGTTATTTTAGTAATAAAATCGTGATTGATGACGGTAATGCGGAGATGGTAATCAATATTAGTGGTAGAAAATTATGTTGAGATTATAATAAAATAATAATTATATTAAAAATATTAAAAATAAAATAGTGATCGTAGTGGCTGTAATAGTAGAGTGAAGATGAACGGTGGTTATATGGTGAGTGTCATGGTGGTATTGATACATATAATAAGTTAATATTGCTAAGAAGAATTTTCTCTCTTTTCTTGATATTAAAATATGTTTTTTTTTTCTAAATAGATACTATTCAACAGTTGACTGAAATATACTTTTTATTAATGCATTTTTCAGTATTTATTTTAATTAAAAAATAAAAAATAGTTTTCATACAAATATTTCCGCAAAAGAAACATAATCTAAATATTTTAATTGATTTTTTTGCAGTTTCATTGCGAAACTACTAAAATAATTGGTTGTTCTATCGATGTTTTTCCAATTTAATATTTTGACTTGCAAATCCTTCAACACTTTAGAATTCCATCCTTTCCCTTTCGACATATGGTGACAGCCTTGACTTACCTCCTCCTCCTCCACCACCACCACCACCTCCTCCTCCTCCTCCTCCTTCTTTTATTTATATATGCAGGGGATTCAAGGAAAGACAACTTTGACTGTATCTATTTCATTTCATTGCCAATTAATATTATGGAACAAGAAAAATTGATTTTGAGTTTTATGCGATTGCTTGATAAGAAAAGTATTCATAAAAACAAGAAAAATCAAGGTCAATAATCATTCAAACCCCACCATGGCATTAACGATCATGATTGTCCTAAGCTTTGTATGCCTCATACCGCTTCAAACACCTCTTGTAGATTTTCAAATAACTTTATTATATACCCTTTTTTTTTAAGGTTTTTAATTAACTATCAGAATATCTTCAAATTGTTTTTTTGCTTTTAAGTTTAAGTTTAAACAGATTTTTTCTACCGTAATCCATTTATTTATTACAATTTTTTTAACATCTCCTTTTATTATTAACAACAACATAATATATAATAATTATATGATATGGGTTGGATTTTAAATTTAATTAAATAAAAATTGATCAAGTTAAATCTAGTTGATTTTGTTAAAACCTGACTTGATTTTTTTAATTTTTTTAATTTTTTAAATAATATTATTTTTAAAAACACCTGAGTCTACCTAATTAATCTCTAATCTATGAACTGAATGATGCACCAAGATCGAATTTAATAACTGTTTATATAAATATAATAGGTACTTTTCAACGTTTGCAAGAGAGAGAGAAGAAAATATAAGAAACCAATTTGGTCAAAATCAAGCCGTGTAGAAGGATGTTGATCAATTTAATTCCCACAGAATTCCACGAACAAATTGTTCTGTTATTCTACCGCAAGCTCTCTTTTCTAATCAGGAGAAGACTTGGGGCACACCCTGCCCCCTTCAACCATTCCACACTTCAAATTATTTGGCATTTTAATTCTGACTAATTAATAGCTGATTTACACCAAGTAGTGTTGATAACAATTTCTCATCTATATATAATAAACCTACTAAAATCATTAATTTTCTACCGCCATTAATTATAGCCGCTTTGCAATTAATTAAAATTGCTGACTAGCTCTTATGGACCATGTCAAAAACCGCTACATTTTTGTGGTTAGTCGTGATACTTTCCTTTACATGAAGAACAACACATTGTAATTGTGGCTTCCTTGGCAAGCTGAGTGTATAATGGTGATGATCGTCCCATTTTCTGTGACCTTAACTGCTGCAATTCTTTCTTCAGTCTTCTATTCTCATTGCTTAAGCTTTCACAACATTTTTTCAAGAACTCACAGTCTACCTCTGTTTGCTTCAGCTTGGTCCTGCATGTTATTGTTTTGTTGTCATTATTGGGAGTAGTTTTAACTATGGAAAAGAAACTGAAAACCCAGAAGAAACCGACAGACAAAAAAACAGAGATATCGTGGAATTTAATGTGCAAACTGAGTTATACCTTGCTCTCCTGTTCTGAAACCAAACTTCAACTTGTCTTGGCTTCAAATTCAATTGCTCGGCGAGTGAATGCTTTTGAGCCTGCATGCACGTAGTGAATATTTCATCAAGTCACTGGATAAATAAATTAAATAACAAGAGTTAATTAAACAAAAGGACAAACAATAAACAAAGCAAATATTACAGGCATCCTAATTTGAAGTTTTTGATATCTGGATCAAGGATTTATAAAAAGTTCATGCGTGAAGAAATTTGTAATTTTAAAAATTAAAGTTTCCAAACCAATATATTTATTAATCATAAGTACTTACAATAATGAAACCTTAAAAAAAAAACATATATTATTTTAATTTTCTGATATCTTATCAAGATCAAGAGATGGAAAATTTGTGTTGCTTTTAGCAGGATAGCCAGAAGTAACTGCTCAAGGACGAGGAAATAAACGAAAGAGACAAGAAGAGCTGGTCAAAAGGGTACCGGATTAAGAGTGGTATGCCTTCTGAAGCTCTCCTCGAGCAAGCTGGATTGCTCTTTTGTAAGCCTGAGTTTCTTTCTGCCAGAACCATCGATGTTACTATCAATGGAATCATCACGTCTCTTAATTCCATATTCTTCATCTTCTTCAGACTTGAAACATATCCCCTCCGCCTTGTCATGATGATCCATGTCCATGGCATCGTTTTTCGGGCACAGTGTAAATGAGAGGTCTAAACGTACCACGGGCTTCTCCTTCTTTTTCTGTGGCCATGGCTCATGGTTTTCACCACCTAGTCCAAGCCCGAGTCTTGTGTCACAGTATCCTTCTGCTTCCATGTCCAGTGAGAGAGATGAGAGGACAGAAGAGAAAGAGATGATGAATATAATTGGCAAATGGAAAGAAGGGGTTAGGAGGTGACTTTATACAAGATTGAATTGGATGTTATTTAGGAATATATAAATGATTTTAAATATATTTTGTTGATTAATTAGTGCACTAATGACAACTAAAATTGAGTAATAGAGTATCAATATAAATATATTTGATGAAAGGGGATTAATGGCGTGCGTTAGAGCTATGACCCCTTTTAGGGAAACCAAAACTCCCTCAAAGCCATATCATGTTTGACTTTGCGATTTCCACGGGATTTTAATTAATAATTAATTACTTCTAGACTTGATTCATTTTTAGTCTATTGCCCACTAGACCTTAAATTTCCAAACACTTTCCCTATTTAAGAAAACAAAAGAATTCTTTGTTTTGAATTTGGAGTCAATTTGTCTATGCATGTGCAAACAACTAATCATATGTTCATATGATGATGCCCAGCAGTGTTCTTTAGAATCAAGTTGATAATTACATATAGATATCGTTGCAGTACAAATGAAAGTTGTAAAATCCAATCATGATTTGATTTTGATATATACGAGTAAAAACCCGTATTATTAGTTATATTCTATACTTTTGTAATAAAATAGTAATTAAAAAACATAAGATATTTCATCCTCGATGTTATTTATTCGAGGAATAAGTCTATAAAAACATTAATGTAAGTAAAAAAAAAATCTTATAGCACATACAAATATTTAATATGATAATTCTCATCACATATATATGGGAAGTAAATCAGTTATATGATACCACTCATTGATTTCTATATATGCACAACCTTTTGTATATATTTGCGTATACTTTTCCTTACAAACACACTCTTTATAGAATATTATTTTTATAAATATATCAACAAAAATAAATAAATTTTAAAAAAGTTTCTGGCAAGATCAAACATCAGCGCACCTGCTTTAAATATATTGAAGATGCTTTTGCAGTAAAGAGTATATCTGGCTAGAGGAGACGTAACAAGTTAAGTTAATTATATTTCCTTTTCAATAAATTCCAATAAAAAAATTCCTATACAACCTGTTTAGATCTACCACTGGTCACCATTTAGTAAATTAATGTGTGCGATTAAATCATTTTTCTTTACTATATATTTTTCACTTCATATCTTACCTACTACGAACCTCACCAATTTATGTTTATTTTACCGAGTTGGGTGAGCTATGTTTAGCTATCTGGATCCCTACAAGGATACCACAAGAGTAGAGAGGGCATAATTTTCTTGAGAGACATAGTATTTGGTTAGAGCACTGTTACGAGAAAGAAAAACAGAAGGATATGGAGATAATTATTATAAACAGGGGATGTTTTCATGTTTTTTTTCACAAAAATATACTTAACCAAGAATATTTTAAAGTCCTGGTGGAAGTCCACATTATTGTGGGTATTTATGATCCAAAATACATTTGTATAATAGCTTCATGTTTCTGGTTTTCCTTTAAATTACACAAGGTCAAGCTGCAAGAGCCTTTTTATAATTATTTACAGCACCAAAGTTTGAGAAACCAGGATTCCATCCAAAAAAAACACAGGTGCTAGCAATTTGAGAGCACAAAACGACACTGGAGTGTATCCTAGATCCTACGCACGATGTCTTAAGAGTTAAGCCTTGAAAGGATTTTTGTTAAACGAGGCCTAATTCCCCGTCTCAAGGGGAGTTGAACACGGGCCTCTTAGTTTTATTAAGAAAAAAGGTCATTATCACTAGGTTAATATAGTCACGAGGCTAAATTCTGTAGGTGAATTGTATTTTTTTTAATTAATCTCTCAATTAATAAAGGTGGTTGTGTGTGTAAGATAAATCCATCATGAGGTATTGTCTTACTTATTTTTAGTAAGTTTTATTTTTTAAATTTTTAGTGAGAGAGATGCCCCTTGTGCTATATAAGCAATCAAAACTCTCATTTCATAATCGATATAAAATAATGATCTAATCAAAACTTTATAGATAATAAGCTTAGATAAAATACATGACTCATTTTTATAAATAACGTTAACTAATAAAGTATCCTATCATAAGATATTGTTCCATATTATTTCCAATAAAATTTATCCTTTAAAAAGCATCTTACAATAAAAAAAATATTCTTAATATCATATAAACAATAAAGCCCTATTCTTCTAACTAATACGTGAGGATAATAGCCTCATCAGTTATAAATTTTAAGAACACATATAGTTTGATTAATAATCAAGGGTGATATAAATTTCTTCAAAACACTATTGCAAAATAAATGAATAAATAAATAATTTCCATCTACACAGTCAATGCAATTGAACTGTTGAATTGACCAGTAATTATGCCCATTAAACGTAATTTACCCAATATTATGATAGGGTTGAAAGAATCCACTAGAAACGGCATAATTAATAATTTCGAAATGAATGGATCTTACTAAACTGCTCACTTGTAATATTGATTTTTTACTCTAAATTCTTCATATTTATTAAACTAGCTTAACTCCGTGGGTTCTTTCACCTTGGAAATCTTGAATCAAACTGGATTTTTTTTATTAAATTAAGATATTAATAAAACTAAATTTCAACCAAATATAAATTTAATAATAAAAAAAATATTATTTTAATATTTATTTAAAAATGCAATGCAAACTGTATCTTTAAAATTTTTTATTTTTTTATTCAAAATAAGTTTTTTATATTTTTAAATTATTTTAATATATTAATATTAAAAATTATTTTTTAAAATAAAAAATATTATTTTAATATATTTTTAAATAAAAAACATTTTAAACCATAATCATAATACCTACTATCATCCTATGAAAACCTATATAAATATGCTCTCATTGCCCGAACCAGCTACTGGGACTGACATCTAGCAGAAGCCCAGTTCATCCACAAGAATTGAGAATGATTGAAATAAAAAGTCTCAATTAGACGAGATATGATTAAAAAAAATAACACAGCAAATTATTTTTTTAATTTTTGTCTCGTATTTTCCATCTTATTTATTCTTCTACTTTGCTATGAATATTTATGATTACGTTGTAGACATAGATCCAGCCCACTAAAACTCTATAAAAATAATTCAAAGCACTAACTCTTTTATTTGATTATAAAAGAGAGGTTTACATTCAATACCTTTTCGGAGAAGAAAAATATTTCAGTCGTTTTCGTGTTACAACTGATTGGTGTATTACTCATAATTTAATTCGAAATGGGAAAAGGTAGGGTGGTAATGAAGGAGATTTAATTTGCTATATTCTTTTAACTTCTAAGTCCGAACCTTAATTTAAACACTTAAAATTAATTATTCTTTATAATTCACTAGGATATCCATGCGCATTTATAATGTGCGCACCACGGTATTCATGTGCATTTTTAAAACTATTTAGACAAAGAATTTAATTTTAATTGATATGCAAACTAGTTCTTAGAAATACTCAATAATAAAATTTGAAGTTAAAATTCTTGTATGGTATTAACTCTATTTAATATAATTTTGTGTTGTTTGTATTTGTTATTTTTCTTTTATTATTTTTGTTAGTATTAGAGTTCAATCATTTCTAATAGTTAGTTGTGTACGGTTGAATATCATGGTAGGAAGAGATTACCAAATAAAACATGCTCATGTAGAAAAGGATGATAAAATTATCTCTTGAAAAAAAGATGCTTAGAAACTAGTAATAAAAAATATTCAAAGACAAATTATAAAATTAATCTAGACATTATTAATGATAAAGCTCCATAAACAAGTTGAAGAATTATCTTATCAATTAATTGAGATGAATAAAAATAATTAAAGGATCAAGTGGAGAGTTATCACAAATCTATGGTAATCTTCAAAAACTTGTTTCAAAGGGGAAAACAGAGGAAACAACTTATTAATTGGTATAAGTGTCAGGGAGATTATAATGATTTGATTTATAATGAGGTAGGTATAAACTGATATTTTTTTTATTAATTTATTATATTTATTTTGATGATAATTTATTGATAATGATAACAACAATAATGACAATAATAACAAGATGATGTAATTAATAGTATTCTTATTGATAAATTAGAGGTTAAGTGCAAAAAAAATAATATAAAATGTACATAATAATAATAATAAAAATTTAATTTAAGTTATGTTGATCTGATTACAAGTTTACTATTAAAGCAAATATAAATTTATTACTTTATAAGATCTAACATAAAAAACTAAAATTAATATCTAAAATTATTATAACATTAAGTGAAAACAAAAAAGAGGTTTGAGAGCTTTAACTAAATATCTATAAGATCAAGATAACAGTAATTTAAATATAAAGACAAGTATTGTAACTGGTAGAGAGATTGAAGCGAGAATTTTTTTTTAAAAAAGTTGTTTTTTCTTAGTTAGTTTTATTTTTTTTTATATTTAGTTTATGAAATCAAATATATTATGCTTAATAATTCTATATTACTTTTTCTTGCTGTTTTTCTTCTGGTGTTGTGTACATCTATGAGAGGCCATGCTGCTTCGGCAATTCTACGTGAGTTTTGAAACATGAGATGATATAAATCTACTGATAGAATGATTGAAATTGAGAATCACAAAATAGATATAATTAAAATTGCCAACGTTTTATTAAATGTTCTCCCAGCCAGTTCTTAATCTTGCCAAACCTTAAATGCGACGAGAAATATTCTATCAGTAGATTGGTTTTAAGAACAATCATAGCTGCATTGACACAATAAAGTAAAACCTAAACTATCACAAAACCCTTTACTTAGAGGACCTTGCTGAGCACATTTTGCAGCACAACACGCATCATTGCACTGCGCTGAACAACGACCCAGACAAACGTTGCACCTCTTCTCCGTCCCACATTCATAGAAGCAAACACAACGATCACCCTGACAAGCTCCCTTGCCACCTTTAGGATATTTCGAAGCACATATATCACCGCACGACGGAGCGCAAACCCCTATATCCCTGGTGCATACATTAGCCTCTGCCGAGAGCTCCATGGTTGCAACTGCATATAATGATCATCATGCACACGAAACCAAAAGGAAAGAA